ATATTGGATGAAGTACAAACCTGAAATCTTTTTCGTGTGGAGGTTATAAACAAATAGAGTAATCCAAGCCAGAACAGTGAGCACGTGGAATATGTGGCATCCTGTAATTATAGACCTTGAATGCTGGGACAGAACACAGGACCTCACTGGGCCATGCAAGGTGATGGAACAGGAATTGAGTCACCTGCAGAAAGCCTGGAGGATTGACCAGTGGGTTCCGTTGCCCGTAAAGGGTTTGGAGGTGGTACAAGGAATCTCGCTATACATCAGTATAGAAGATGATGAGCATGGACTTTGAAACCATGCTACTTAAGGTTCAGTCCCAGTTGTCAACATTTTAAGGTAGAAGCCCACTCACCCTTCAAACCAATTATACATGTTTTTATTTATATAGAATTCTTTTCATATTAAGTACAAAAGGAAATGCAGAAAATATTTTTACTTAATGTTTATCAATACATTACCAAAAAAGAAAAACCCCTCCCCTTTGGTGACCTAGGCAACAATTAGAAAGCTACAGTATTGAAATAAAAAGGATGATTAATGCTAACTCTAATTTGCACTTGTATTTGTGCTCCTGTAAACAACACTACTTCAGTCACTCTGAGTTTGTTTGTTGCTGTGAGAGTGGGATTTGAGTGGAGCGCTTTCTGGTGCTTGTGGCTGTGTCAGATCTGAGGTAGAGACTGGTACAAGTTCACAGTGACAGTTGTTTCACTAACAATAAAACTAGAAAAAAAGCAAAGAAACTATATTATAAAATCTGAATAGCATTTTCTGACAAGCAAAAAATAACTGGAAAAGTGCTGGATCTTCCAACAAAAAAATGTGTATTTGCTAGAAAGAGGAAAGGAAAAATAACCATTTACTAAATTCATTAATTGCTTGCTTTATAAGGTTTCCCCCTGAGTAGCTAGGGTAATTATATTAATTTACTTTGTTTTATTCAGTGTTTGGTAGGGAGGTGAAGGACTTTGGTCAACAGAGAATGAGCATGAACCATTTTGCCTAGTGTCATTGGAGAGGTAATCAAAGGGCTCCTGTCCACATACACTGCCCTCACCTCTCTACTTGAACTTTTCATATTTACTGACTGTCATTGCCAGAGCAGCTACAGAAGAATAGAGCAGAGAATCAAGATGAGGTAGACCCACAGCTGATGGAATAGGAAAGGCACATAAAGAAACTGGGCATGGAACCCACCTAAAATGCCAGGAGGAAGTCCAGTCTGCCAGGTGGAGAATCGTAGCACAAGATTGGACTATAACCTCATAGGGCAAGAAGCTGTTAGTGTCAGGAAGGGTCACAGGACACTTCTCAGGGTCAGTGATGTTTGGAAATTGAGTTACATGTTGGTATTACAACCCATTTGCAGGAACAGGATCCCAGGCATAAAACTGGGACTCATTTCAGTTCATCCTTGGTAGATGACTAAGCAAATCTAGGGAAGAAGGAGGGAAGCACATCAAATGGAATCAGAGGATGGAAGGAAAGACCAGGAACATAATGGTGCTGGACACTTAGTGGGAGCAGTAATAAAGCTGGGGTTGCTTCTGCAATCTTTCCTAAAAATTGTCTTACCTGTAGGCTCAGTTACAGAGTTGGGTCTTGGGGAATGAGATTTTGATGAGTTAGGAGGCAGCGTATGTCCCAAGGATCTGTCCATGTATCAAGGAGCCCAGGGAGGGAGTTGAGGGGAAAGAGAGAAGGAAAAGATGGAGACAGAGATCAGGGCAGTGAGCCAGAGGTTGTGGGGAAAGATGCAAAAGTGGAAGAAGAGAAAAAGAGAAGTCAAAATTGTCTGTTTGCTGAAAAGGCTAACAATTGATGAATTTTAAAAATCAGAGGCGAGAGACACTAATAGAGGATGATAAAATTGAGGGGAAAGAATCTTAGGTCCTGATCAGTAACTAAAGGAAATTAAAAAAAAAAAAGGCAGGGGGGGACACCAGTTGTGCTAACCTCCACTGAAGAAGGAAAAATGATCCAAAGTCCTGCCTGCTTGCGAGCACAAAATGAGATGAGATGAGATGAGGAAAGGCTGCAAACGCAAGGCTGGTGTTGCTGCCCCATAAATTGTAGGGAAGATGCAGGAGGTGGCACAGATTACAGCATTGAGAACTGTAGCTTCTTTCACTGGTGTGACTGTTGCTTCTTTTTTCCAGGGTTGTCCATCAGGTGACCTGGAGCAGATTGACACCTACGTAGAAGCGTTGCTTAAAGAAGACAATCTCCTTTCCTGTAGCACTTTCAATAAAGTTACCGTAGGTAAGGGATATAGTTCTACTTTAGAATAAAAGGGAAGGTCTTCTCAAGTTAAGTTAGAAAACATAATTCCTTTTTAAATGATGCTAAGAAAATTGGAACATTCTTTTCAAAAAATAACCTTTTTTCATTATTGGTGTTATTGTAAAGTTTGTCCTGTGGAACACTAAGAAAATTGTGTACTTTCAAAATGATGGCTCATTTATGATTGTTATATATATATCCCAAGCTTGTTTCCTGACTCTTCCTGTTCTGTCAGAAATAATCTCTAGAATTCTATAATTCCCATGTCAGCTATTAAGAAAAATGAAAATTCACTTAAGTTCAAATTTAGGTTTTACTTACATGGTTGTAAAAACTTGAACACAGTAGTTTCCAAAATAAATACTTAAAGGAATATAGAATCTCCTCCTCTTGAAGTGTATGTTGAAAAAGAGAGACGTTGTGCCCTTTCTCCACTGCAGCCAGCAACCAGTGAGGCAGAGAATATAAATACCTCCAACACTCCTGAGAAATTGTTTATATCATACTTTTATTATTATAGGAAAAGAGTAAACCTCTTCAGTATACTATGTGTACAAACTACACATATATAAGAGCTGTGTTTTACATTTACACATATATAAAGAATGTGTTTTATGCTTTCCTTAATAACTGTTTTATTTGTTTAAAAATGCCTGTAAGGTTGTGTAAAAACAATAAAACCTTTAAAATGCACTTGTGGAATTGTGGAATTTTAATTCATTTAATGCACACACACCAGTGGAACATGTGCAACAAAATATAGCAAAACTCTTCATCCCATTCTTTTATTAAAAAAAAGATTTATTTCTTTATTTGAAAGTCAGAGTTATACACAGAGAGAAGGAGAGGCAGAGAGAGAGAGAGAGAGGTCTTCCATCCACTATAGCGAGGGTCTTCCATCCTCTGGTTCACTCCCCAATTGGCTGCAATGGCCAGAGCTGTGCCGATACGATGCCTGGAACCAGGAACTTCCTCCTGGTCTTCTCACAAAGGTGCAGGGGCCCAAGGACTTAGGCCATACTCTACTGCTTTCCCAGTCCATAGCAGAGAGCTGGATTGGAAGTGGAGCAGCCAAGAGTTGAACCAGTGCCCATATGGGATGCTGGCATTGCAGGCGGTAGCTTTACCTGCTACACCACAGGGCCAACCCCATCCCATTCCTTTATTCAACCACTTAATTACCATTCCCAATACCATTAGTGTATACAAGGTAATATAAAGGAGAGTTTTGTAGGGTTCAGTATTCTGGGTTGACAGTTCTCTCTCTCTCTCTCTCTCTCTCTCATTTTTTTAGCAGGATCTTGAGATTTATTTACACACCCATTCACAGCAGTATTATAATAGCTAAAATGTGGAAGCAACCCAGATATTCTAATGATAGATAAATAAGAAAAAATAGTATATATCCACACAATGGAATACAAATGTACTTCAAAGTGTTTATGGGAAAAGGGATTAACAGCTGAATTTGGTTTGGCCCAAAAATTTCAAAATCCATTCATAGCTTTTTCTTAATCCCATGAAGTTTATGAATTCTCCTTATATTATTTTAGCCTTAAACAGGACACATGCTACAACACAGGTAAAACCTTAAATGCATTACAGTAAGTGAAATAAACCATTCAAAACCAAATAGTATATGATTCCACTTATCTGTTAATACTTAACAGTCATAATCATAGATTTTATCATGAATATTTACTGTTTAATGGGTACAGAGTTTCAGTTCTACAAGGTGAAAAGAGTTGTAGGGGAGCACTGTGGATCATCAAGTTAAACTGCGGTCTGAAGTGCCTGCATGCTGTACAGGTGCCGGTTGGAGTTCTGGCTCTTCAACTTCCAATTCAGCTCCCTGCTAACGTGCCTGGGAAAGCAGCAAAGAATGGTCCCAGCACCCACAAGGGAGACCCGGAATAAGCTTTGGCCCCTGGCTTCAGCCTGGCCCAGCCTCAACTGTTGCAGCCATCTGAGTAGTGAACCAGTGAATGAAAAGATCCTTAATTCTTTCAAATAAATAATTCTTAAAAAAAAACAAAAAAGTTATAGATTTGGGTTGTGGTGATAATTATACAAAAACATCTGTGAATGAATTTAAAATCAGTGACTCACTTAAAAATTTTTTTTTATATTTTATTTATTTGAGAAGTAGAGTTAGAGAGGGAAAGACAGACAGAAAGGTCTTCCATCTGCTGGTTCACTCCCAAAGTGACTGCAACAGCTGGAGCAAGGCACCAGGAGCTGCTTCTGGGTCTCCCATGTGGGTGCAGGGCCCCAAGCACTTGGGCCATCCTCCGTTTTCCCAGGCCATAACAGAAGCTGGATAAGAAGAGCAGGGGGACATAAACCAGCGCCCATATAGGATCCCAGTGCTGCAGGTGGAGGCTTAGACTACTATACTACAGTGTCAGTCCCCGCTTAAGTGTTTAAGATGGTAAATTTTATGTATACTTTATATATTTTCAGTGTTTATATACAGTGCACTAATGCAATTCACCTCTGAAAATAGTATCTTCGTAACTTAATATAAAAACTATAGATAAAACTCTAGAGTACTGAAAATAGCTTTGTCATCAATCCCTATATATATATATTTTTTTTTCACATTTAAAAACCAGAACATTTATTGTGTGATTGATTGTTGAAATTTCTGAAATTCTTAAGATGGACTAGATACTGCAACAGCTGCCCTCTTCTGTGGAGGGGGGTGGTTCTGTCAAGGAATCCATCTGTGGCTGAATCTGCAGAATAGGCATTTTAGGGGCCGCATTCTACCTGTCACAGTGGTTTGTCTTTTAGCCTTGGCACTCCAATTACATACTTTTCTTGTGCTTGGCAGAGTAGCTACATTTGCGACAGGCCAGCTTGTGAAGATGCTGTACCTTAGAGCCACAGTGGCAGCATAACATGCACTTCTTTTCATAACAGTTTGCAAAAGATGCTGTTCCCTTTGTCATCTCACATCTATTCCTATATATTCTCATTGAACAGAGAACATGAATTCAAAATCCTATTAGGGAAACTGGTACATGGTATTCAGACTATTTAGAACTGGGCAAATCAGGGTTCAAATCCTGTCTCTACCTAACCACAAGGAACTGATGTCAGAACTAAATGAAATGGTATGTACATAAGGGTTCTCTTATGTGCATGCCCTGTTAGAAAAGTGAGTGATTGAGGGTGGGCATTTCATCTGGTGGTTCAGATCCCACTTGGATGCCCCTGCTCTCATATCAGAGTACCTAGGTTCAAGTCCTGTCTCTGCTGCCAATTCCAGTTCCTAATGCACATCTTGGGAAGCAGCAGGTGGTAGCTCAATTGGTTGGATCCTTGCCACCCATGTGGGAGACCAAGATTGAGTTCTGGCTCCTGGGTTTGGCTCGACCTATTGTGAGCATTTGGGAATCAACCAGCAGATAAGAAACTTTTCAATAAAATTAAAATAAACAAGTAGGGAACCCATGAACTAAATAAACCACTAAAAAAAAGTAACCATATTTCCTAAACCACTATTACACTGAAAGGATAGGTAGTGGGGCCAACACTGTGGCCTAGTGGGTTAAGTTGTTGCCTGCTAATGCCAGAACCCCATATGGGATTCAAGTCCCAGCTACTCCACTTCTGATCCAGCTCCCTGCTGATGAACTTGAGAAAGTAGGGGAGAATGCACCAAGTGCTTGGGCCCCTGCACCCACAAGAGCGACATGGAAGAAGTTCTTGGCTCCTGGCTTCAGCTGGCCTAGCCCCAGCCATTGTAGCCATTTGGGGAGTGAACCAGTGGATGGAAGAGTCTCTCTCTGTGACTCTACCTTTCAAACAAATAAATATATCTCTCCTTCAGATTTTACACCAACCACCTTCCCATTCTGCACAATGATTTCTTCGATAGGTTTATTCAGCATGTAGGTACCACCATAAATAGCACTTAGCCTAGCAAATCCTTGTGGGAGTTCTCCAAGGCCATAGAGTGGATAAAGGTATGGGCTTTTGCCATATCGCGCCAGAGACTCACTGTAAAGTTTAATTCTATTAATGGTTTCACAACATGGTTGATCTAAGTAGTCATCAGTTCTGTAGAGTGCAAGAACATGACCTGTAAAATCGATAACATCTTGGCCCAAATCAAATTTCTTATACACATCTCGCATTGCAGTCTTCTTGGGATCAACACCTTCAAAAGTTCTAGCATCGTTTTCATCAAAGTTGGCAACATACACCAGGAATTTTCTGAAGTGACGTTTTTCAAATAGTCCCATTAAGCTAGATGCAAGGGCTTCTGCTTCAGTGGAAGGAACCTTGTAGATTTTTCCTCCTTTATAGACAAAGCTTCCTTCTGTCACTTTAAAATCCAGAAAACGAGGGACTTCTGTATAAAGCGGCATCTTAACCAGATGACTATTAGCCATAAGGAACTTGGGAATTAAGTCAACATTCCAGTCTCTTCCTCTCCCCATTGATGATGGTGGTGATCCTGGTATTTTAAATCTTTTGTGTAAATCTTCCAGAGGTGTTATAGATGCACTTTCTCCTCCATAGTATGGGTTTTGATCCATGTGAAGAACTTTCTTTCCATTCACTGACATGATACCCGACAAGATGCATTCCGTCAGGCCGGTGCCCAGCACGATCATATCGTACTCCTCATTCATGGCGGGGTAGGGCGAGGCGAACGACTCGAGAAAGGAGAAAAGCTAAAAGACCTTGCGGCCACTCTAAGGAGGTGGAGAGGAGCTCAGACCGCTGTCAGGTTAAGGGAAAAGGGAAGGCGGGAGGCTAGAAAAAAAATGGAACTGAGGAGGAAGGCAAGCCCAGCCACCACCTCAAAGGGGAAGAGAAGAGTGGGCAAGGGAGGGGGAGAGGGTGCAGAGGGGAGGGAGCGGAGGGCGGCGACCTTGCCTGGGCAGACGGGGTATGGCCAGTTTTTCTCTTAAGACTTGAAATATATCTCCCCATTCTTTCTTACCTGTAGGGTTTTTGACGAGAAGTCCGCTATGAGTATAATTGGAGATCCTCTGAAATTAATCTGGCATTTCTCTTTTGCACATTTTAGACTCTTTTCTTTATGTTTTACTGTGGAGGGTTTGACTACAATGTGTCATGGTTAAGATCTTCTCTTGTCATGTCTATGAGGAGTTCTGTGTGTTTCCTGTATGTGGACATCCCTTACTTTCTCCAAATTAGGGAAGTTTCCTGTAATTATTTCACTAAAAAGGCCTTATAACCCATTCTGTTTCTCCATGCCTTCAGGAATTCCCAAGACCCATATGTTGGATCATTTGATAGTATTCCATAAATCTTCAACACTGTTTTTTAGTTTTCTTATTTCTTCTTCTTCTTTTTTTTTTTTTTTTTTGGTCTGTGCAATTTCCAGAGATTTGTCTTCTAACTCAGATATTCTTTTTCTGGCTCACTGAGTCTGTTGTTAAGGCTTTCCACTGCATTTTTTGTTTGATCTATTAAATTACTCATTTCCAATATTTCATTTTAATTTCTCTTTAAAATCTCAATTTCATGGGGAAAATGTTCATTCGTGTGATATATTGATTTCTTTAATTTGTGGATTTGCTTCTGGTTACTTCTAAGTAATCCTATAATGGTGACATAAAGACCTTCCATAGCAAACAGAAATTGAAAGAATTTGTCACCACTTCATCTAGCCTTAAAAAAGATGCTTAAGGATGGACTACACACAGAAACAAAGAACCATGGTCTTCACTATGAAAGAAGGTGAAGGTAGATTCTCCCAGTAAAAGAACAAAGGAAATCCAAAGTAAACAATAGCAATATGTACAGAAAAATGGAAGGGCCAAGTTGTCACTTATCAGTAGTCACCTTGAATGTAAGTAGCCTCAACTCTGCAGTTACAACATACAGACTATTTAACCACTCCCTTGTTTAAAAAAAAAAAAAGATGTATCTTCTTAGTTATTTGAAAGACCCATGTGGGTGGCAGGAACTCACATGCTTAAGCCATCATCTGCTTCTTTCCAGGCACATTAGCAGAGAGCTGGGCCAGAAGTGGAGTAGTTGAGACACAGACTGGCACTTCCGTATGTGATGTAGGCACCCTAGAAGTGACTTAACTTGCTGCGCCACTATGCTTGCTTTTTCCTTCCTTCCTTCCTTCCTTCCTTCCTTCCTTCCTTCCTTCCTTCCTTCCTTCCTTCCTTCCTTCCTTCTTTAGTTAGAGATACACAGGGAAGGAGAGGCAGAGAGAGAGAGAGGTCTTCCATTCGCTGGTTCACTCCCCAGATGGATGCAACAGCTGGAGCTGCGTCAATCTGAAGCCAGGAGCCAGGAGCTTCTTCGGAATCTCCCACATGGGTGCAGGGGCCTAAAGACATCGGCCATCTTCTATTGCTTTTCCAGGCCATTGCAGAGAGCTGGATTGGAAGTGAAGCAGCCCAGAAATCATGGTGCGGGTTGCCCGAAGGCCACGTGCCCCAGAAGTGCAAGGCAGCAAGGGTCTGCAATGGCCAAAAAGGGTAAAAAAGAGCAAAATGGCTGGGCCCACCATAGTTTGGTTTAATATCCTTTTGCCATCCTTTTGTAGTCATAGGGAATTTTCCCATGATAAAATTTTTGGTTTTTTAAAAATTATTCATTTGGAAAGCAGAGAGAGACAGAGAGACACAGAGAGAGAGAGAGAGAGAGAGAGAGAGAGAGAGAGAGATCTTCCATCCACTGTTTCTCTCCCCAAATGACCACAATGGCTGGAGCTGGGCTGGTCCAAAACTAGATGCCAAAAGCTTCTTCTGGGTCTCCCAGTGGGTGCAGGGGCCCAGGTACTTAGGCCATCATCACCTGCTTTCCCATGTACATTTACAGGGAGCTGGATCAGAATTGGATCAAAAGTTGATCAGCCAGGACTGGAACTTGTCCCACATGGCATTCTGGCATCGCAGGTGGTGGCTTCACCCATTGTGCCACAGTGCTGGCACCCATGAGAAAAATTCTAAAATGATTTTACCTTATTTTGTTATAATGATTTAACAATTACATTGATTACATTTAAACATTTTTGATCCATTTAGTATTTATTTTGGTATAAGAAACAAATGAGAGGAACTAGAATTGTGAGGCAATTTTTGATAACTGTGTTTTCCTACCCAAGACCAAGAAATGCCTGTGTTTCCTGTTCTTTCTTCCTTCTGTCCTTCTTTCCTTCCTTCCTTCCTCCCTTCCTTCCTCCCTCCCTCCCTCCCTCCTTCCTCTTTCTTTCTTTCTTTCTTTCTTTCTTTTCTTTTCTTTTCTTTTCTTTTCTTTTCTTTTCTTTTCTTTTCTTTTCTTTCTTTCCCTTTCTTCCTTTCTTCCTTTCTTCCTTATTTACTTGAGAGGCAGAGCTACAGAAAAGAGAGAGACAGAAAGAGAGGTCTTCTATCCACTCACTGGTTCACTCCCCAAATGGCTTCAACAGCCAGAGATGGGCTGATCCAAAGCCAGGAGCCAGGAGCTTCTTCCAGGTCTTCCACGTGAGTGCAGGGGCCAAGGACTTGGGCCATCTCCCACTGCTTTTCCAGGCCATCAAGGAGGGAGCTATATTGGAAAACAAGCAGCCAGGACCCTAACTGGTGCCCATATGGGATACTGGGGCCGCAGGAAGAGGCTTAACCTATTATATCACAGTGCCAGCCTCCAAGATATGCCTTTCTACATGTTCAAGTTTTAATTGGTGCTTTATAGTACCATTCAAAGATTTTCTTCTACGTATCTACACCTTCTACATTTATAGTTAAATTAGTTTGATTTATTATTTGACCTGTCATAAGTGACTTTTCTCCATTCTCTTTTGACTGGGTAATGTAAACATCGACTCATAATTTTTAAACAACTGTGTTGTATTCAAAATAAGAATTCTTTTGCCACAAATAGTTTGTTTTAAAGAATTTATTTATTTAAGAGGAAGAGTTAGAGAGAGAGATGAAGGTCTTCCATCCACTGGTTCACTCCCCAAATGGCCACAACAGCCAGAGCTGGGTGCAGAAGCCACAAGCCAGGAGCTTCCTCCCACATGGGTGCAGGGGCCCAAACGCTTCAGCCATTTTCTACTGCTTTCTGAGGCCATAGCAGAGAGCTGGATCAGAAGAGAAGCAGCTGTGATTAGATGCAGTGCCCAAACAGGATGCCGGCACAACAGGCAAAAGCTTAGCGCACTATGCCACAGCATGGGCCCTACCACAAATAGTTTTAAAGTCATTTTCTGCATCAGGATGTAATTATTAGTAAATTACATGCACAACACAATTCACAACATATGCATAACTCACATGAAGAGTCACAGATTCTGAATTTCTAGTCCTGTGTTTCTCATCCATCCAAAGTTGTCCTTCTGCTGGGGATGTTCATTATCTACCTCTTTCAGCATCACTATATACTTTTCCTTTAATCTAAAAATTGAAGATGGGCAGGTGTTTGGCTTAGTGGTTAAGGTGGCATTTGACATGCCCAAATTCCATATTGGAGTGCCTGGGTTCAGGTTCCAGCTCTGCTTCCAATTCCAGATTCCTGTTAATGAACAACCTGGGAAGAAGCAAGCTATGGCTCAAGTTCTTTTGTCCCTGCCACCCACATGGGAGACCTAGACTGAGTTACTGTCTACTGGCTTTAGCCTGGCCCAGCCTGAACTGTTGTGATCATTGAGGGAATGGACCAATGGATAAAAGATCTCTTCACCTTTCAAACAAATAAACAAGCATAGTTTTTCAAAAGTTGATGATTAAGGTCAGTCAACATCTCTGAGCATCTTTCTGGCAGGCATTTACAAAGACTCTAAAGAGGGACTTTCCTCAAAGAACCCTTTTTGAAGATTGTGATGGGATATTTCCTACAGTCCCTAACTGAATAATCCCTAGGACTTACTGCACAGTATCCCATTGTTATTCTTTTTACTCTGCACAGAAGTCTTATCCACTCTAGTGGTATCAAGTAGTATTTCCAAATGGTCAAGTTTCAAGTTCTGTGACCTTACTCAAATTTGTTACTTTAAGTGTGAAACAGAAATGTCCTGCTGAAATTCTACATGGCTGTGCTTGAAACAAAATCACTCATTTCCACCATGACCGCCCCCATTTCCTTTCAAAGCAGGATATTCAAGTTCTGATGACTTCAGTTATTGGAAACCTGGGGTTCTAAGTAGGAAATCAGGACAAAGGAGCAGGTACTAAGGCAGAGACTGAACATATGAATTAGCCAAAATGGGAACTGGAGAAAAAATAATGTGAAGTTAGGAGAAGAAACTAGAATTTAGGATTAGTATTTCAACATAGGGATATCTACTTCTAAGTATGGTTGTTAGCAAGATGGCTTGAAGAACACACAGAGCAATTCATTTCAATTGCTGGACCATGGATGCACTTAATTTCACTGACATGGTTTGCAATTTCATTGGCAACTGGGGATTTGTTTGGACAAAATTAGTAAGATAAAACTAGAAAACAGAAAGCATGAATAGGTAGACTTTAGAGATAGAAAAGCCAGAAGCAAGGGTTGGTCTTTTGGCACAGTGGGTTAAGTTGCCTCCTGTGACATCAGCCTCCTGTATATGGGCACCAGTGAGTCCTGGGTGCTCCACTTCAGATCCAGCTCCCTCCTAATGCACCTGGGAAGGCATAAGAAGATGGCTCAGTTTCTTGGGCCCTTGCCATCCATGTGGGAAATCTGGATGGAGTTATTGGTTCCCATCTGGAACCTAATCCAGTCCTGGCCTTTAGAGACATTTGGGGGAGTGAACCAGTGGATGGAAGATCTCTCTCTCTCTCTCTCTCTCTCTCTCTCATTCTCTGTTCTGTGTGTATGTGTGT